GCCCTCGCACCCCCACGGGGGACGTGGGCCGTGGCGCGGTGCCAGAGAAGAGCCGTGGGTATCAGCGGCTGCACCAGGTCCCAGAGAGGCCGGGCCGCCCGTTGCAAAGACTAAGCAGGGTTCCCAAAGGGCGTTCCGTGATGGCCAGACCTTCTGGTGTGGGCAGGCAGCTCCCGCCCTGAAGGGCAGACCCTGACCTGACCCGCCCCCTCCCGCCCGCAGTCCGGAGGCGGAGCGTGCACGGCCCCGGCAGGCCCGGCCCTCAGCCCCTATGGAGGGCACCGTGCAGCTGTTAGGCCGGGAGGGACACAGCGTGGCCCACAACTCCAAGCGGCACTACCACGACGCCTTCGTGGCCATGAGCCGCATGCGGCAGCGTGGCCTCCTGTGCGACATCGTGCTGCATGTGGCTGCCAAGGAGATCCGAGCGCACAAGGTGGTCCTGGCCTCCTGCAGCCCCTACTTCCATGCCATGTTCACAAGCAAGTATCGCAGCCGGGCAGGCTGGGAGGCCTAAAGGCAGGTCTCCTGGCAGGCACCAGCCTGACCCACTGTCCCCACAGATGAGATGAGTGAAAGCCGTCAGACCCACGTTACCCTGCATGACATCGATCCTCAGGCCCTGGATCAGCTGGTGCAGTTTGCGTACACAGCTGAGATTGTGGTGGGCGAGGGCAATGTACAGGTGAGCCTGCTGTGTTGTCCCCACAGCCAGCTCCCCACTGGGGCCATGCCCTAGGTCTACCCACACCTCAGCCCTCTGTGCCTCTGTCCATGCTTCTCTGGGCCCCTCTCCTGCCTTGCCCACATCTCGGTCTGCAGACTCTGCTCCCAGCCGCCAGCCTCCTGCAGCTGAACGGTGTCCGAGATGCCTGCTGCAAGTTCCTGCTGAGTCAGCTGGACCCCTCCAACTGCCTGGGCATCAGGGGCTTTGCCGACACACACTCCTGCAGTGACCTGCTCAAGGCTGCCCACAGGTACGTGTTGCAGCACTTCGTGGACGTGGCCAAGACTGAGGAGTTCATGCTGCTGCCGCTGAAGCAGGTAACACACCAGCTGGGGCCCAGGTCAGGGCGCCCTACGCTCTGGCCCACATTCCGGCCCTACTACCTATTCCCTTACTCCCTCAACACTGTCCCCATCTTCTGATGTCATCTAAGTTATCACTTTTGATTGCCAATTCTGCCCTGTTTCTCCCATGTCCCTGGTCACACCCCAGCAACCATTCTGGACCTAGGCCCCCCGGGAGCTTGGGCTGTGGCTCCTGAGCCTGCATGACACCTCCCAGTAGGAACACTGAGCCCCCCAGCTGGACCCTTCCTCCCAGGCACCTTCAGGGCTCTCTGGGCCCACAGGACCTTCCCCAGATCTCAGGTCTAAGGACCCCACCCCCCAGGTGCTGGAACTGGTCTCTAGCGACAGCCTGAACGTCCCTTCAGAGGAAGATGTCTATCGTGCAGTCCTGAGCTGGGTGAAACACGACGTGGATGCTCGCAGGCAGCACGTCCCAAGGGTGAGGCCAGGCCCTGGGGGCTCCATGGCATGAGGGACTGCAGGTGCTGAGGGCCTGGGTATGTTCCAGCCTCTACCATGTTCAGGGAGTCAGTGAGGATAACGCAGGTACTTGTGGGAGGAAGCATCCCTCACACAGGTGGTACAGGCATCTGGTGAGGGGGGGGGCCTCAGCTCTGGAGCAGGTGTGCTCAAGGGTCCCACCTGACCTTGGTGCCCATTGTGCCAGCTGATGAAGTGCGTGCGACTGCCTCTGCTGAGCCGAGACTTTCTGCTGGGTCATGTGGATGCCGAGAGCCTGGTGAGGCACCACCCTGACTGCAAGGACCTGCTCATTGAGGCCCTCAAGTTCCACCTGTTGCCAGAGCAAAGGGGCATCCTGGGCACCAGCCGCACCCGGCCCCGTCGTTGTGAGGGGGCCGGCCCTGTGCTCTTTGCTGTGGGTACGGCCACCTCAAACCCTCCCATTCATGGCCCTCCCCTGACCCCACCCTGTGTTGACCTTCCCTCCCTTCCGTACCCTAGGTGGCGGGAGCCTGTTCGCCATCCATGGGGACTGTGAAGCATACGATACTCGCACTGACCGCTGGCATGTGGTGGCCTCTATGTCCACACGCCGTGCCCGGGTGGGGGTTGCCGCTGTTGGGAACCGTCTGTATGCCGTGGGCGGGTAAGCATGGAGGCTAGTTTTAGGTCAGGGGTCTGGAATGTGCCCACTAGACCAGCCCTGACCAATAGGGGACTTCTCCCCTAGCTACGATGGTACCTCAGATTTGGCTACCATGGAGTCGTATGATCCCGTGACCAACACGTGGCAGCCCGAGGTGTCTATGGGCACAAGACGAAGCTGCTTGGGTGTGGCTGCCCTGCACGGGCTTCTGTATGCAGCTGGCGGCTACGACGGGGCCTCCTGCCTGAACAGGTATAATTGGGATAAGGCCTCACAGTCTTGCAGGGCTCAGGAGCCAGAGGTGAGGCCGTTAACCACCACAAGAGCCTTGTCTGCCTGGGGGATAAGGAGGCCCCTATGGCCCCTTCACCCTGGGCCACAGCACCACCACGCCCTTTTCTTCTCTTGCCCAGCACCACAGGGGCTGAGCTTGGGTGGACACTGGCCCAGATCATCTGGGAAGCCTATGACCTATGCCCACCAGCAGGCCCTGCTTGTCTGCTCTAGTGGAACTTTAGGGTCCAAGTGTCCAAGATGCCCCAGCATGAGATTTGAGTCATTCTATGGGAGGGTAGGTTCTGGGGCCTCTGCTGAGGTTCAGCAGCAGTCCTGGTGCCCACAGTGCTGAGCGCTATGACCCCCTGACGGGAACGTGGACATCCATCGCTGCCATGAGCACCCGGAGGCGATACGTGCGTGTGGCCACACTTGGTGGGTGTCAGGGTATTGGGCCTGCATTGTGGGGTGTCCGCCCCCTAGATCCCACACAGCAGGAGCACCATGGTGTGTTGGTTTGCTGCAGATGGGACCCTGTATGCCGTGGGCGGCTATGACAGTTCTTCTCACCTGGCCACTGTGGAGAAGTATGAACCCCAGGTGCATAGGGCATCCCGACATAGTCACCCACCGTGGGAGGGGCTGTGGAGGAAGGGTGCCCAGGACAGGGCTGCACCCAGCACGCCCCCCCCCACCCTTCAGGTGAACACGTGGACGCCTGTGGCCTCCATGCTGAGCCGGCGCAGCTCAGCAGGTGTGGCAGTGCTGGAGGGTGCCTTGTATGTGGCAGGGGGCAATGATGGCACCAGTTGCCTCAACTCTGTGGAGAGATACAGCCCCAAGGCCAGTGCCTGGGAGAGTGTAGCCCCCATGAACATCCGCAGGTCTGTACCTGGGATGGGGTTCCTGGGGGGAGGGTCCTCAGAAGAGAGGGGTACCCTCCCACCCCCAGTACCCCAGGTCTTACCCACCTGCCCCTAGGAGCACACATGACCTGGTAGCCATGGACGGCTGGCTGTATGCTGTTGGGGGCAACGATGGGAGCTCCAGCCTCAACTCCATTGAGAAATACAACCCGAGGACCAACAAGTGGGTGGCTGCGTCCTGCATGTTCACACGGCGCAGCAGCGTGGGCGCAGCCGTGCTGGAGCTGCTCAACTTCCCGCCACCGTCCTCACCCACGCTGTCTGTGTCCTCCACCAGCCTCTGACCCACCAGTTGCAGAGGCCTTTGGCCTCCCACATGCCTTAAGGTGGTGCACAGCCCCACCAGTGATACCCACACCATCTGTCCACGTCTGTGTGTTCATTTCTTATGTCATTTTATTTATTTACTCATGTATTTATTCATTATTTATTAATGGGTGAACAGCATTACAGCACCATTCATGCATTTACCCCTGAAGTATTTGGCTGTACCACATGTCACCCCCACTCTGTGCTTTGAGGGCAGTGGAAGTGAAGCAGCTGGGGGCTTTCACTGCTTGGGGGACCCTGTGTCCAACTATGTTAACAGAGCAGGAGGGGCAGGGGCTTTCCCAGCAGGTGTAGCCCTCCACCCCCACTTGGCACTTGACTCAGGGAGGGTGCAGAGCAGGCTTCCTTCTCATGTCTCTGTCAGCGTGCTGTCTTTTCTGGACCTTGTACTGAGCACACACATGTGCACACAGACTCTGCACAGCAATATGAGCCATCTTGAACAATAAACATGTGTCCTGGGCTCTGTGGGCCTGAGGTTAAGCATCCATCTCTAACCCCTTTTGTCTCTCTGCCTTGTGGGGCTGTAGCACAGCCTTGGGTCATATGTAGGCTCCAGGCAGAGGGTCTGTGGGCCAGAGTGCTACGGTTGCAATGCTGGCATTGGTGCCAAGGGGCTGGAAGACTGAACATTTGCACACAGGTGGGGTGGGGGCTATGCTGTCCACGTGGACTAGTGCCCAATCATGAATGTGGTTTACTGCCAGCCTGGTCCCTGAGTCTTTGAAGCCTCTGCCAAACCCCAGGCTCTAGAGTGGAGATGGCATGGCCCCCACCTTGTCATTACTGTCCTAGGCAGCTTCTTGACTCCTCTTAAACCTCAGGGTCCCTGACTTGGGCCTGGGGTTAGGCTCACCCTGGCAGGAGGGGAGGCACTCCCTCTCTAGGCTGGCAGACTCTGCCTCAGCGGCCAAGTGAAGATACACTCATAGTCACTGGTGACTCAGACAGGTTTAGGTGGAAACCAGACATTTGCTCACATCAAGGGAAGGGTGCAAGTGAAAGGGGGTCCCTGGCACGCTCAGCCTGATCAGGACTTGTGGACACTCCTGCACACAGGGCTCCTCTGGGCTAGAGGGGATGCCCTGTGCCCCTGCCCCAAGACTAGCCCAGGGCTGGGAACTGGAAACCTCCCGCTGTGAGCCCCTCCCAGGAAAGCACCACCCTTGCCTACCCTCCTACGGGGCAGGACATGCCCAAGCCCCGCCTGTCAGTGGGAGGCAGGAGCAGGAGGCTGGGACAGACAGAACCAAACCCAGACCTACTTGACTCAGGAGCCGCCACCCATGGGGAACAGCCACTGTGTCCCTCAGGCCCCCCGGAGGCTCCGGGCCTCCTTCTCCAGGAAGCCCTCACTGAAAGGGAACAGGTGAGGGCCAGGTGGGACCTTGGCTGCCCGGAGCAGAGTCTCCCTTAACCTGCACCCAGGGCCAGACTGTGAGCCCCTCCTTCCCTTGTCCCCAGGGAGGACAGCTCGAGGAAGCTGGCCATCCCATTCAGCACCCAGGCTGCTTGCGACGGGGACACCACCACTGACAAGCTCTTCTGCTACATCCCTGGGACGGTGAGCTGCTATAGGGGCTGCCTTGAGCCCCAGGGTGTGTATGTGGCCCATGTCACCTGGGCTGGTCTGCAAGTGTGGCTCTGCCCACTTGGGTGTGCCTGCATGTGCTGGTGTGTGTGCCCCTTAGCATGTGTGTCTGTCAGCATGGGGACCAAGTCTTGGTGCAGCAGGGGATTGTCACTCTGCCCAGGGAGATTCAGACCCAGAGCCAGATGAGCAACAGATACGGCCCTGCCCAGTCTGAGTGGGAGCAAAATCAGGGCCTGTGAGGATTTGGTTTCACACCACCAGAGGTAGAGAGAGGCTTCCAGGACATCCCTGTCCATGGTTTTGCACACACACCCTGGCCCCTCCCAGGGCCTGGGGCTTGGGTCCAGCGCCAGCACCTCCCAGCCTTTGTTGTGGGTCATGGGTTGTGCGGGTGAGATCACTGGAGAGAGCCAGGGGCTTTGGGGGAACATTAGGGGGTGTCACTGGAGCTACTTCTGGGTATAGGCACTCTTTGGGTCTCCAGTTAGCTTTATCTGCTAACCAACCACCCAGGCCATACAGCAAGGATGTGGCTCCCAAGCACATGCTACATCCCCCATCTACCCCACTAACCCCTGCTGAGGGTAGAGTGCCCAGCCCCTTTGCCCAACACAACCAGCTCTAGGTAGGACAACAAGGAGGAACCCACCTAGTACAGCCCCCTCCTGGTGACACTCCACCCCAGGTAGGTGTGGCTTTGCTTCAGGCAGGGGCTCCAGGCTCATCTGGTTGACAAAATAGTTGTGGCTCCACACACTGCACTCCTTGGCCCGGCACCCAGACCCCTCCCCAACTTGTTCCCATCAGCCCAGCCATCTGCTCTTCTGCCCACTGAGGCCCTGGGCCCCAAGCAGCAGATGCTGCCTTGGAGAAGTAGATGGGGAGGGTGTCCAGCCAGCCCAGGGCTTTTTGTGTGACCACATCTCACCTTGCCAGGACACAGTGACCAGGGAAGGGCCAGGATGTATTAAGCCTCAGGAGGTGGAGCTTGGGAGGCATTGGCCACCCCAGTCCTCAGCTCTATCTGGGCTCTGGGCCCTACTAAAGCTCCCAGCTGAGTCCTCCCTAGGCCAGGCCACAGGACTAGCTGCCGATTGTGGCCTATTTGTCATGAGTGCCATCCTGGCATTAAGTTCCCACATTGGGTGTGGGTGCAGGAAGCCCCACCCAGAAGCAGGAAGGCCAACTGAGCCACACATCTGTCTGTTCACATTCCTGGGCTTGCCCAAGGGGCAGTCAGCTAGACTGGGTATTGCTCCCTTCCACCTTCCAGAAAGAGCGTGACCCCCACCTCAGCCCAGCATGTGATCACACTCTCACCAGCCCTGTGCTGACCCCTGGTCTGTGATTGAGCCCCTGCTTAGGACTGGCCAAGTATGATGTGGAATGACCCCCCCTAACACACCAGAGGCCACACCCTAGGCTCTAGGGTCAGCAGTGAAAGAGACTAAGACCCCTTTTTCATGGTGCCCCTGATCCCACAGCAAAGGTGGAGGCCAAAACAAATCAGACATGGTTAGTGCTCAGAAGAGCTCAGAAGAGCTCTGAAGAACAGGAAGGGGAGAGAGATGCAGGACCTTGTGAGAAGGTGAGGGTGAAGGTTAGGATAAGGGAATGGCAAGTGCAAAGGCTGAAGGTAGGGGCAGATCACAGAGGCCCTCAAGGCCTGGGCACTTCTGCAAATGAAGGCTAGGGGTGGTCTCTTCACCTCCTATCACACTTTTGGCTCAGAGTGGGCTGTAGTGGGGATATTTACTGGAGGAAACTGGTAAATGTTACAGACCAGGGCCTTTGTCTTTTTCTGCATATGCTTCTGTGTGACATGGGAGGGTTTGGGGTATTAGCATTTTCTCAGGTTATAGTTTGAGGGAAAAGCAAAGATGAGGAGGGTTGAACCCACTAAGTCCAAATCTCAGGCTCAATCTCCAGACCAGGTAGCTCTGCTGCAGGAAAGTGTGTGTTTGTGTCCGTGTGTGTGTGTGTGAGCACAAGCGTGTGTGCATGTATAGTAGCAGGTGGGGAGGGGACATGTTCTGCCACTGCTGTGTTTCCATGTGAGGAGCCTGTGGGTACACAGACAGGACCCTGAACATGTGAAGGCAGGTGTGCTCCCACTGTAAGTGGCATGACTGCAGGGGCAGGCCATGCCCACATGTGTGTGACCATGTGGACATTAGCTGGGGCTGGGGGCCCCAGGGCAGGCCTCCTCCACATCTTTGTACACCCCCAGGACATCCCAGGCCTGGAGAGTCAGCCAGAGACCCTGGAGCAGCCATTCCTAAGTGTGTTCAAGAAGGCACAGCGGAGGGTGCCTGTGAGGAGCCTGGGCAAGGTTGTGCACTATGCTAAAGTCCAGCTGAGGTTCCAGCACAGCCAGGTGGGGGTCAGGCCGGGCGGGCTGTACACAGCACCCCACCAGCCTGGAACCTGCCCCCACCCAGGTCCTCAGACAGGACTTTGCTGTCTTCGCAGGACATCAGCGACTGCTACCTGGAACTGTTTCCCTCCCACCTCTACTTCCAGGCCCACAACTCCGAGGGACTCACGTTCCAGGTGAGGCAGTATGTGGCAGGGCAGGGGTAGCATCTGGCCATCCCTCCCTGAGTTTCTGCAGCCTCTCCTCCCCTGTGCCCTGGCAGGGGCTGTTACCATTGATGGAACTGAGTGTGTGCCCACTGGAGGGATCCCGAGAGCATGCCTTCCAGATCACAGGTGCGGGGAGACGCTGGCCTGGCCCCCAAAGGTGCCTTCTGACCTAGGCCATGGCAGGGGTACTTTCCTCTGGCCGTGGAGCTCCAGGTCCTTTGCGCCCAACCCTCTCTGCCCCTCTGCCCACAGGCCCGCTGCCCACACCCCTCCTGCTGCTCTGCCCTAGTGAGGCAGAGCTGGGCCTCTGGCTCTACCACCTGGAAAAGCAGATGGCCCTGGTCAGGGGGCTGAGGTGCTGCCACTCAGCAGCCCCACAGGTCAGTACTTGGAACCCTATACCCTTATCCCAACCCTCCCAGCCTGCCCTGACTTTCTCGTCATCAGGGTTCCTCTGGGGATGAGCTTCCCCGGACACCGCAGCACCACCTGATCCAGCCACAGCTACAGACATTGTTGGAGCCTGAATCTGTGGGCAAGGCCCGCTGTGCCTCCAGGGTCAAGCTGCAGCATCTGCCCTCCCAGGTGGGCGGAAGGAATGTAGGGCTGGGGGGAGCAGGAAGGGATACCCAGTGCCAGCCCCTGTCCTCTGGTACCCACAGGAGCAGTGCCAGCGGCTCCTGGTCCTATACCCCACCTCCTTGGCCATCTTCTCAGAGGAACCAGATGGGCTTTGCTTTAAGGTGGGCCCCTCCCCGAGGCTTGGCCCAGGGAGGATCTAGTGAGGGGGCAGGCAGGGACAGAGGCTCAGGAGAAACCTGAATTTCAGGACCTGTTGGGACAGAGTGCAGAGCCCTGCTCTCCGGGCCCTGCTGCCCTGGTCAGTCTGGTCTCAGCTCTAATGTGAGAGAGAGCCTCACCCTGGGCATCCCATGTCACCCATGAGATTCCTTGGCCACCAGCCTAAGCTGGTAGTATGGGGGGTGAGAGCCTCCCGGGAGTCACTCACACATGCTTGTCCCATGAGGGCATGTGCATGCATGTTTACACGTGTGTGGTGCATGTCCTTTGAGACTAGAGTGTGTCGGTGGTGTGCACTCACAGTAAACTCCAATCACTGAGAAAAATAGGGCTTCTCCATGATCCCTGCCCTATTTTAGTGGGTGACCCCAGGGGACCAGTAAGCTTCCATCTGTATCTTCCAACCACCCTGCCCCATGGTGTCTGCCTGGTGTCTGGCTGTTGGAGTTTCCAGCCCAGCTCTGAGGCTGAACTGGGAAGCAGCTGCCTATGGGGAGCTGGGCCTCATGTGTCATCCTGCAGGGTGAGCTCCCGCTCAGCATCATCAGCTTCAAGTGGGAGGAACAGCAGGTCCACTCATTCCTGATTGAAGGTGGGGCCTGACCCCACCCTGCCTTGGCCAGTCAGGCCATCAGTAGGGAGGTCAGGGAGGGTGTGAGCCTGGTGGATGTGCTAGCTCTGTGGTGGGGCTTTGTGGAGCTCACTGCCTGTGGTCCCTCACTGTGTCTGTGTGCCAGGGCCCCTCATCAACACCATCCGCGTGGTGTGCGCCAGCTACCAGGACTACAGCCATTGGCTGCTCTGCCTGCAGACTGTCACCAGCAGGGACCAGTCCCTGCTGTCCTGTGCAGAGGGCATCCCGGAATGCCAGGTGCCCCTACAGGTGAGGTCCTGGGCAATGGTGGCAGCAGGGCAGAGTGTAGGCCTAGGCAGGAGTGGGTGGGTGGAGGGTCATGAGCACCCAGCTCATTCCCTGGGTGCCAGGTCATGGGGAGCAGCCAAGATTCATTCACCTCTGATGGACAGACCAGCCAGGACGTGGGGTACCTGACACCCCCCTCCTCCCATACCAGCCACTCCTTGCCAGAGTCCTCAGTGCCATCCTCTGCAGCCTGCCCAGTCCAGCCTGTACCCGTGAGTACCTAGGGGTGGCAGGAGGAGGGGCAGGAGGCCATGAGATTGGGCCTGGATTGGTGAAAGCTTCCTATAGTCTCAGAGAAATGCATGGGAGAGGACCCCCAGGGAGCTTTCTGGAAGGGTCCTGATCCCCACAGGACCAAAACAACCCTGACTGCACCAGCATTAGCCAACGAAGGGCAGAGCTGAGACGTAGTGGCACTGGCCAGTCATCCAGGAGCAAGGCCTGGGCAAAGGGGCTAGGCACAGCTGCCCCACTGCACCTGCACCTGGACCTGAGCAAGGTGGGCCCCACAGGCTTCCCTGGCTCCTGCCTACTCCCCTGCCAGGCCACTGTCTCCTGTGCCTAGCCCAGAAGACTTGGGCTATGTCCAGCTGGAGAAACTATTCCCCCACCCCTACCCTTCAGCTAAGCAGGCCCAGCCTGGAGGGCAGCCCCAAGGCCCCAGCTCATGCTTCGGAGACACCACACTCCCCTCTCTACGCTGACCCCTACACACCACCTGCTACCTCCCACCACAAGATCACAGATGCCAGGGGTCTGATCGAGGTGACAGAAAGGGCTGAGTACCCTGCATCCATGGGCATCTAAGGGGGCTTCTGGGGCACGGATCCCTGGCCCCATGGAGGTCCCAACACAGGGCCTCATGCTACTCACTCTCTCAGCTCTCCAGCACCATGTGGAGCCTACCTGGATCTGTGCCCTTCAGCCTGTTCCCCTCCATCTCTGTGTCTGTGCCTGTCTCTGACCCTGGCTCTGGATCCTTCAGCTCCCCCAGGCCCCCTGACCCTCACTTGCTCTCCAAGAAGGGAGCCCTATGGTCCCAAGCCTCTCAGAGGCACCAAGGCTCTGTCAAGGGCCGAGAGCTGCAGCCCCAAGACTCCACTCAGGTTGTGAGTAGCACCTAGTCTCCAGGGGTACTGTGGGGATCCTCCTGGACTCTGAAGGAGCAAGAGAATTTGGGGGCCTCAGAGACTAGACAGAGAGAGGGAGGGCAGAGCAGGGCTGGTACAGGCAGAGGAGGTGTCTGCAGATCTCTGAGCTCCCTGCCCCAACTCTGCCTAGCTCTCAGACATGTGGTCTGGGGTTCCCAGGTCTCTCCTGCCAGGGAAGATTCACCTGCACCCCGGCCACCTCCCCCAGGTGAGTGAGGGCCCCACCTTCTGTGGGCAGCTGGGACTTCCTAAGCCAAAAAAGCTCTGCCTCCCTACAGATGGCAGGACCCCAGGGGGGCACGAAGACCCAGGATGCCACAGTATCTGGAACAAGACATCATTTCCCTCCCACCAGAAGTGGGCCCAGCTTGGGGAGCCTGAAGCTGGGATGGGAGTCATCCAGTGGATCTGATGGCCCTGGCAGGGCTACTTCTCAGGACTACCTGCACCCACCAACTGGACCGCCCTCCCCTGGGACCCACATAAAATTCTGAGTCAGGGTCTGACTCCAGAGGGACCTAGAGAGTCTCCAGAGGCCCGAGTTCAGAAGGGCCCCATCCCTAATCTGGCTCCTACCATTCCCCCAAACTGGGAGGCCAGAAGGAGGGGGCTCACCTGGTATGGCTGGACCACAGGTCAGGGTGAGGTGTGAGGGAGGTCATCCCTCGGCTCTGCCCCCAGGAGGGATTGGAAAGGGGCTCGAGCTGAAAGATGGTGTGGGCATGAGGGTCAGAGGTCAGCAAAGTACAAGCTAGCACGGGCAGGGGTGGGGGTGTCCCAGCATTGCCTGGCCACATGTGGAGTAGGCTGGTATGAGATACTGATGCCACTAAATGAGAAAGAAAGCAGAGATTTTATTGGCGCCTTGTGTCCAGGCATCCTCACTCAGCAGAAGGTGTCTCTCACCATCCCAGGACCCCATGCAAGCTGTCTTGGGCACCTGTCAGGCCACCTCTGTGCTCTGCTGCCATAGCCTCTTACCCACCCCATCTCCCACTCCTCATCCCTGGGCTCCCAGCCACCACGAAGGACCCCCAGGGCCCCATCCCTCTAGCTGAAACCATCAGCTCTGCCTCTGCAGCCTTACCTAGGGTCCCCAGAGGAGGAGCTCCTAGCTTTGGCCCTAGACCCCACCCCAATGGGGCAACTGGGGCCTCTTGGAACATACCCACCTAGACATGCTTACTGCCTCAGGCTGGAGCTTAAGCAGGCCTGGGGCTCCAGGTATGGAGGGGCCTTGGCACCCTCTCCAGATCAGCCCACCTGTGAGCTCCAAGCCTCAAGGTCCTGGTGCCCTTGCTCTTGTCCCCTGCATAGACTTCCAGCAGGACCTTGTGTCTACCTTCACCCTTCCAACATCCAGTATTCCATCCTCATACCTCCTCCACATACCACATGACATACAGGGTGCTGGCTGAATGTGACTTCAGATAACAAATAATTTCCTAGGATGAGTATGTCCCAAATGTTGCATATCTGGCATCCAACTTTAGGTGCCTTTCTGGCCCCTCAGTGGCTCCCTCTCAGCCTTCTCCTGCACAGACGTCCAGAATTGCCCCTCCCAGGTCAAGGCAGGGAGCAGGCTTGGTCATGGCCAGACCCTTAGTTGAGTCTGAGGTAGCATCTCTCAGGACACTGCCTCCCTCCTGGACACCTGTGTTCATCTCCTCATCCTGCTTCTTCCTGGGTCCATCCTGGCTGCTAGGAGCTGGTGCTGCGGCTGGGGCTGGGATTGCAGCGCCCTTGCCCCACCTGCCGGCGGAAATGGCGGATGGCCGAGATGGTGCCAATGTTGGCCAGCAAGACTGCAAGAAGCACAAGATCTCCTAAGGGCCAGCTCTGGCCAGCCATCACCGTCTGCCCTATGACCCAGCATTCAAAGGCAAGGGCAGTGGTTCAGCAGGCAAAAGCAAGGTTAGGGAGAGACCTGCATCTCCCCCACACACCCTCTTCCTGCTGGTCCACTGGGAGAGGCCGGACATTGCTGCCTAAGTCTCACTTCTTGGCCCCAGCTCCCCACCCCAGGGCCTCAAACCTGTTTTCCAGGCGTCTGGGGAGTGCAAGTCTGATGTCCTCACAGCCCAGGTGGCAAAGGCTACAAACACCAGGCACATGTCATTCTGGCTGAAGGTGAACGAGGTGAGGGGGCCCCAGAGTTCTCCTAGGAAAGAGAAGCAGGCCCTCAGCTGCAGCCACCTCCTTTCTGAGATGCACCTGTCCTGAGAATCACCTGTCCCGGATATGTCTGCCCCAGGACATATGTGCCTGGGACATGTCTGCCCTGGGACATGTCTGTGCTAAGAATCATGCCTCCCAGACACATCTGTCTAAGCCACATCTTCCCCGTTGTATCTCTGCCCTAAGACACAGAGTAGCTTGTGACATGGATGAATCAGGCCAGTTGGACGAATGGCCTCTGGGGTCCTCTCCCTCCTTGTCTGGGACACATTCTGCAAAGGGGATATGACATATATCACCAAGGGTAGTCTGGGTAGACATACGTCACCAAGGGAGCACCTGCCCACTGGAGCAGAGGGACTGCACTGCTGCTGTTTGGGCCTGAATATAGACCCAGTGCCTGGCCTAAGCTGCACACCTGAACTATGTCCTGGGATACTCAGGAGCTAGACCCTGGGCCCCCTGAGTCTGATGGCCTGGTTCTGTCCAGCCCCTCCTCAGTGGCCCTTTTGGCTGAGGTCCCCGGACAGTGTGTTCCCAGGATCTGGACAGGCCTCAGGACCTGAGCAACACGCACCTGGCTGCCTGACCATCAAGCCAAGCTGCTCTGCTCTGGCAGGGCCAGGCCCTGCTCCCAGGGAGGATGGCCCCAGGCCCCTCCCAGGCCTGTCCTCCCTGAAGAAGTGTTCATAGGCCTCAGGGATGGAGATGGGCACAGGGTCTTCAGGCGGAGGGGTTAGCACAGCCTCAGCCCTGGGGAGTGGGGCTAGGGAGCAGCATCCCCAGGGACTTGGCCTCTGAGCTTGGCAATCCTGGAAGAAGAACTCGCATATGTCTGGCCACTGGACTTCAGCCAGAGCCTGGCTGGTTAATGCCACCTCCTCAGCATCTTCCTCCTCCTCCTCATCAATGGTGTCACAGAAAAAGAACTCATAGGCCTCTGGGAGGGTCACTGCAAATTGGCTCCTGGGCCCTGGTGCCCTCAAGGCAGAGGGGGCTGGAGGGGGGAGATGCTTGAGGATGCGAGGCTTGGGGGGTCGGGGCCCGATGGCCACAGCATCCCAGGTTCTAGGCTCCTCATGGCCCCCAGGTTCTGTCCGGGGAGATGAAGGCCAAGTGGTAGATGGCGATGGGGGGCCCAGGGCCACCACTGATGCTGGCTTCTCAGGGCTGGGCCCAGCCATGGAGAATCGTACTTTCTTCTTCTTGGGGGTGTGAATGGGGTACACTCGGTGCTCCCCTGAGAAGTGTCCAGGGACACCTGCTAAGGGCTTTGCTCTGGGGATCACTCCAGTCTTCATCTCCACCACATGAGGCTCAGCCTGGGGGACAATAGATTGGGATAGGGCAGCAGCATCTGCTTTGGGAGCTGATATGGACACAACCTCGTCTGAATCAACCTTAGAGACAGAGTGAGGCGGAGTGACATGCGGCACAGCCACAGAAACAAGTGTAGAGGGAACTTCTGGCTTAACTTCTGGACCTTCTGTAGGCAGGTCCATATCCAGTCTCGGCTTGGAGGTGAGTGTAGACAGAGTCACATCGGGTGGAGGCCTGAAGTCAGGTGTAGACACAGCCACATCTGGTTTAGCTATTGAGAAGTCCAGATGAGCCTCCTTGGCAGGTGTGGACTCTGGGTATAGCTCACCTCTGGGGGTTGTTCTGAATTGGTCGGTGCCTTGCTTGATCACAGAGACAGGGTTAGATACGTCCAAACCAGGCCTTCTTCCGGTGAGCAGCTCAGGGGCACTTGAGCCAGGCCCAGGAATTCCTGTAGAGTCTGGCCCCAACTTGTCCTGCCTGGTTCCTGCTTTTGGCATTACCTCCCCAGCTTCCAGACTCTTGCCCCTGGGCCCAGCCAGGCCAAGACCCTCCTCTGGCTGTGCTGTGAGCAGTAGGGAGCCCAGCTGGGCAGGGGCAGGGCCTGGGGCTCCTGAATGCCCACCCGCCTTAGCACCCATGGCTCTCCTCTTCTTTCCACTGGAGCTTCGAGGCACGGTTCCAGGATTGTTCAGGGGGTCCTGGAGTATGGCATTGTGGCCAGGAGACCTGGGACTCCATGAGGACATCCCAGGGAGGCTAGGGGCAGGGCCCTGCAGTAGCCTCTGCCTCTCATCCCCACAAGACACTGGCACCAACAGGGCTGAGGAAGGAGCGGTGGCACTAGAGCCAAGAGATAGTGCGGACGTGCTGGATGTCTGCTCACCAGCTCCCAGAGCCAAGAGAGGTTCACACTGAGACCTGCTGACCAGCTGCTGGGCAGCCACATCTTCCTCCTCACAGCCTAGCAAGCCCCGCCCGCCCAGAGCCGGCTGCCCAGGAGGACCACTGCTGTCTTCTTGGTCAATGTCACTGGACAAGAGTTCATCCCCAGAGGCCAGGCCAGCCTGTGGGAGACCACACTCATCAGCTGTGGCAGAGAATTCAGCCCAGTCCTGATCGCTCAGCTGGACACTGTACTGGAAGTTTTCCATTTGGGGTTAGCAAAGGCACTGGAGGGGCTGAGCAGCGTGGTCACAGATCTGGGCCCTGGGCCCTGGCCCATACAAGCTGCCACTGCCCAGTCCAACCTGGGGGCACCTCCCACACTGCCATAACATCATCACAGCCTGAAGAGAAAAGAACAGGTCCAGAGGGAGTTAGAAAATCCTGACTCAAACTTTCCCTGAGTTAGAAAATCCTGACTCAAACTTTCCCTATTTCCAAACTAACCCCAAAATGGTAACTCTGTAATGACACACTGTTACATTATTATATCATTAAAACCAAATACTGTTCTGTACTAAAGAAGAACAGTGACCCCCACGTTCTGTGTTCCCTCCTTTCCTCACCTCCTCAACCATCTTCCAGGGCTGCCAGTACCAAGGCCAACTTTATATGGCAAAGTCCATTATTCAGACCTCCCACTGGCATTAGTCCCTCAGATGGTCAGCCCTGACCTAGCCCAGTGTGCCTGAGTGGCAGGCGCCACAGGCAGCTGTGGTATCCAGCAAGTTACCAGCCCTTTTGACTGGGCCAACCTGTCATTAGCCTTCCTCTGAGCTCACCAAGGTCATACTGGTGCTGACCAGAGCTGACTCAGGGGTCAGCAGGGAGACCCAGGGCAGATGGTCACAGAGCAATGAGCCTTCTGACTCCAGCAGCATGTCGGACCACTCTTAGGGTCTATATGCTGCCAGACCTGTTCGCTGCTCAGCTTCCTTCTTCTGCTCTGTCTCAGGGCACCAAAGTGACCCCAGCCAGCTGTAGGTTCTACCCGCTATGGGGCTGCCCTTCAGCATTCAGTCCAGGCGAGGATAATCTCCCTGCTATGGTTCTGAGACAGAGAAGCCTTGATCCCAAGGCACCATGGCTACCCACTAATGTTTGCCCTCCTTTCTGGCCCTTCCAGATGTTTCTGGGGCTCTCCACCATTGGGACCCCTTAGTTTAGGACTAAGTAGCTGACTATGACCTACCTGGGTCCTGGCAGCCAGCTGGGCAGCAGCTGGGTGTCTGAGCTGCTCGCCCAGAGCGGCATGGTGCTGGGTTCTCTACACAGGCTCCACCCCCACTGCCAAAAATACCTGTCCCTGCAAATCACATGTGCCTCATGCCAGCTGACAGGGCCCAGGCCACAAATAGATGGCATTTGATCCAGCACCACATCCAGCTGCATGAGGGATGTCTTTCCAGCACAAGGCCAGAGAAGGCTGACCTGCAATCACTAAACCAGGGCCTCCCTTTCCTGAACTGAGGCCACTCTGTGCTTCCTTCTCCTGCTAAAAACCCTCAGTCCCCATCCACCACCTCTAGAATGTTCCTGGCTCAACATTGGAGATGACCATTGCACCATGGCCAGGATTTGCACCTCCTTGGCCTGACCTTCTGGGGCTTATGTGCGCTCCCTAGTGGCATGGCTGAGCCTGCCAGTGGACCTATGGGAGCAGGTGGGGGTACTGCAGGCTATCTGTGGAAGTTCACCAAAAGAACATGGACCATGGATCTCAGGAGCAGGTCGGAAGGCTAGGGAAAAACAGTGGGTGCACTCCTGGTCAGCACCTCTCCTGGCCTTAGCCCATGTACAGGACCCAAGATGGCTTCACAGAATCTCCCTCCAGGGTTAGCATTTGGCGTTTCAGCCCAAGTGGACCAATCCAGGAAGAACCTGGAGGGTGACACAGCCTCTGTGCTGAGGGGCCCCTCGCCAGGCTGCCTTGAGTTCTTCTCTATAAACTTCATCCTGAGAGGAGACACAGAGAGGGTGACTTGCACACAGTCACACAGCCACACAGGCAGTAAGTTGCAGAGGTGAGTTTCAGAGGCCCTGCTCTTACTCTGCACTAGCTGCAGAGGGTGGGCCTGCCCTGCTCTGCCCTACGTTCCAGCCATCCTGAGCTTGGAGCCTATGGTGCCCATTCTCAGGTAGGTCCTGAGCTGGGAGACAAGGGGATAAGAGGACAGGGTGGGAGGCAATCAAACAACTATCCAATCAAACTGTTGACTAAGCTCATCTTCACAGCAACACACTCTAGGAAAGAAATGGAGGGCCACAGAAACCCCTGAGGTAGGGACCCCGAGGCTTACGAGGTCTGGGGACGAGATTTGGGGGACAGAAGTCAGCATCGTGAGGCATGGCAGTGTCACTGGAGAAGAACAAGGTCTCAGCTCACAGGAGGTGTACTATTGGTGCTGAGCTTTTCCAGAAGTAGCCTTTCCCCTCCCCTAGAGGCCACAGAACTCCAGGGCTGCCCAGGGCAGGCAAGTGTACAGAGCCTGGGACTCCATACAGAAGGAGCCCACTCTGGAAGCCTGTTTGCATCAGCCTCCTTCTCACCCTTTACACCCTGGAGACAGGCTGCCCTGAGAGCTGTCCTGAGTGTAACTTCACCGTGTGGCTGCATCTATTTTCCCAGGGATGAAGGTTTGGATCATTTCCAGTTTGCAGCTATTTCAGGCAGTGTTGCTGTGAACATTCTGGAACATTTCTTTTGGCAACCCCATGCCGGAATTTCTAGGATGCAGGCCAGCAGTTTTCCTAAACAGTTGTGCTGACACACACACCAATCACAGGATGTGGGGTTCCCTGCACTGCACATCTGAGATCACCTCTGCCACTGTGGGCATCGTGCTCTGTGGGGGTGCCATGCCACAGTTTCAGTTCACATTTTCCTAATGATCAATTATCCGCTGTCAGTGCCTCTCCCGCTGCAGGTGTCCTTGGTGCCTGCCATTTCCCTCTTCCTTGTTGATTTGCCAGAATTTGTTGTAGATTTTAGACAAGAGTCCTTCATCAAGTGTCTCATGAGTGCCTTCTCCCTTTCTGCCTCCACTTTTCCCTCTTAGTGTTTTAGATGAGCAGAAGATTTTAATTTTTACATAGTACAATTTATCAACAATTTCCTTTATGAGGCCAGGTGCAGTGGCTCATGCCTGTAATCCTAGCACTCTGGGAGGCTGAGGCAGGAAAATCACTTGAGCCCAAGAGTTTGAGGTGGCTGTGAGCTATGATGCTTTAGCACTCTACCCAGGGAGACAGGGTGAGACTCTGTCTCAAAAAAAAAAAACAAACAACAAACAATTCCTTTGGGTTAGCATGAACCTTTTTCTGTTCTTTTAAAGAACATATTCTTACATGTTTAGAAAACTTCATTGCCTTGCTTTTCACACCTGAAATGAATTTTTATGGATCCTGGGATGTGGGGTCACATATATGGACTTGCTTTGTTTCTTTTCTTTTCTTTCTTTCTTTCTTTTCTTTTTCTTTTTTTTTTTTTTTTTGAGACAAAGTTTCCCAATGTTGCCTAGTAGAGTGCTCTGGCATCACAGCTCACAGCAACCTCCAACTCTTGGGCTTAAGCGATTCTCTTGCCTCAGCCTCCCAAGTAGCTGGAACTACAGGTACTCACCACAACACCCGGCTATTTTTTTTTTTTTAATTGTAGTTGTCATTGTTATTTGGCAGGCCTGGGCTGGATTCGAACCCACTAGCTCCAGTGTATGTGGCTGGTGCCCTAGCCTCTTGAGCTACATGTGCAGAGCCGACCCTGCTTTGTTTCCATACGGACACCAGGTCAATCCAGCACCACATGATGCAAAGACAGGGCTGTGTCATACTGTAGTCCAAGCACCTGTGTGCAGAGGCATTGTGCCTAAGGTGGAGCAGAAGATTCCCTGGGAAGGTGGAGAGGTCTTGGCCTGCTGTGCCCCTAGAGGCCACCAGAGAGCACAAGGACTCCACTGGATGCCAACAGTGCTGGGCTTCAACAACTGCGTCCTGGTGTATAAGGCGGTACCCCAGGGCCTATCCCTCCCACCAGGGCACAAAAGGTGAGTTGGTTGCTCCTTGGGAGATTGTTCTGTAGTTGTATAGGCCCTTTCAAGTCATTGGTCTTGAGATGGTCAGCTCTCAAGAATAAGAACTAATTTTCTTTTTAAAAATTTTTCTTACTTATAAATGTGTATATTAGGTTTCCACTTTTGCCTTCACAGAATTAAAAAGGCTAAATTTAATAACAAAAACAATATTTAACATAAGAACTAAGAACAAAAACCTCATAAAGAATGAATGAAGATAAATACATTCAAAAAAGGAATCAGACGATTTCTTAAACTGATCGAAGCTATCTATGACAAACCCACAGCTAGTATTTTACTGAACAGAGTAAAACTGAAAGCTTTTCCTCTTAGAACTGGAACTAGACAAAGTTGTCCTCTGTCACCATTACTATTCAACATTGTGCTGGAAGTTTTAGCCAATACAATTAGACAAGACAAGAAAATAAAGGGCATCCAAATGGGAGCAGAGGATGTTAAACTCTCCCTTTTTTTTTTTTTTTTGATGATATGATCTTATACCTGGAGAACCCCAAAGACTCAACACAAGACTCTTGGAAGTCATCAAAAAATACAGTAATGTCTCAGGATATAAAATCAATGTTCACAAGTCAGTTGCTTTTGTATATGCCAACAATAACCAAGATGAGAGGTTAATTAAGGACATAATTCCCTTCACCATAGTCCCAAAGAAAATGAAATACTTAGGAATATACCTAACAAAAGAGATGAAGGAATTCTATAAAGAAAATTATGAAACCCTTAGAAAGAAAATAGCAGAGGACATCAACAAATGGAAGAATATACCATGCTCATGGCTGGGAAGAATCAACATTGTTAAAATGTCTATACTTCCCAGGGTAATTTACTGATTCAATGCCATCCCTATTAAAATACCAACATCCTACTTTCAAGACTTGGAAAAAATGATTCTGCATTTTGTATGGAATCAGAAAAAACCTGTATAGCTAACACAGTTCTTAGTAACAAAAACAAAGCCGGGGATATTACTATACCAGATTTTAGGCTATACTACAAGGCCATAGTGGTCAAGACAGCATGGTATTGGCACAAAAATAGAGACATAGATATTTGGAATTGAATAGAAATCCTGGAAATGAAACCAACAACATACAGCCACCTAATCTTCAATAAACCAA